TGGGAGCTTCCACCATAGGAGTTTATTTTCTTGGTTCTGGAGGCTGGAAGTCCCAGATCCAGGTGTCGGGAGGGCTGATTTCTTCTGAGCCTCTCCTTAGCTTGCAGACAGTAGCCTTCTCCCTGCATCTTCACATCCATCTTCCCCCTGCACCTGTCTGTGTCATTTTCTCTTATAAAGATGCCAGTCGATTAGGGCCCACCCTAATGACCTTGTTTTAACTTAGTCACCCCTTTAAAGACCTGTCTCCAAAATACAGTCTTATTCTAAAGTGCTGGGGTTAGAGCTTTAGCATAGGAATTGGGGCGGGGGGCGGGAGGAACAGTTCAGCCCCTAGCGCCCCACTTTGTTTACCGTCTGAGGAGTTTTTACAAATGATACACAGCAGCCAAGATGCGGAGCAGATCATCGCCCCGAGGTAGTGCGCTCATGTCCCGGCAGACAGTCCCCACCTCGTACCCCCACACCGGGTGAAAATGTCTGGTGGCCCCCTGTTGTGCGGGCTCAGTTTGTCTTCTCTGGAGCGTCAGGTAAGTGGGATCATGCCGTGTGTTCATTTCATGCCTGGTGTTTTCCCTCCGCAGAACAACCCTGAGGACTGTAAACGTTGCTGTGTGCATCTGTGCTGTGTCCCCTTTCATTGCTGAGCGGTGTTCCTTTGTTTGGATACACCACTGTCTGCTTCTTCACTCATCAGGTAAGGGACACACAGACAGTTCCAGGTCAGGCTCATGATGGGTAAAGCTTCCACTCACATCTGGGCACAGGTCTTTGTACAGCCCTACTTTTCGTTTCCAGTTGGTTTCCCCACCTAAAAGTGCTAGATTACATGGGAGGTGGGTGTTTAACTTCATAACTGCCTTGCAGGGTGATTCTCACTCCCCCATCAGCCGTGTTGGAGAGTCCTGATTGCTCTGACATTGATAGTTCAGTCCTTTTCACTTTAATTCTAAAGGGTGTGCACTGGCATCTCGTGGTTTAACTTGCACTTCCCTAATGGCTGGTGAAGTCGAGCATCTTCCCATGTGCTTATTGGTCATCACATTTCTTTTGACCATTTTTAATTGGGTTGTCATTTAGAAAATTGTGGTAAAAGATACATAACATACAATTTACCATCTTAATTTAAATTTAATCAGTCCAGTGACATTAAGACCATTCATGTGCTATGGAGGTGTCACCACCATGTGTCTCCAGTACTCTTTTTTGTCTTCCCAAACTGAATCCCTGTCCCCATTAAACACTAACTCCTCATTCTCCTCTCCCCTCAACTCCCAGCCCTAGGCACCCTTCCATTCTACTGACTGTCTCTATGAATGTGACTATCCTGGGGACTTCATACCAGTTGAACCTATAGTATTTGTCCTTTTGTCACTGGCTTATTTCACTTAACATAATATCCTGAAGGTTTATCCATGTTGTATGATGTGTCAGAATTCCCTTCCCTTTTAAGGCTAAATAATATTCTACTGTGTGTAGAGATCAATTGTCTTTATCCATTCATCTGTCAGTGAACACTTGGGTGGGTTCCACCTTTTGGTTATTGTGAATAGTACTGTGATGAACATGAGTGTGCAAATATATCTGTTTGAATTCCTGAATTCCTGTTTTATTCTCTTTTTTTTTGAGACGGGGTCTAGCTCTGGTACCAGGTTGGAGTGCAGAGGCGTGATCTTGGCTTACTGCAGCCGCCCATTCCCAGGGGTGATCCTCCCACCTCACCCTTCCGAATAGGTGGGACTGCCAGCATGCACCAACACACCTAGCTGATTTTTGTTATGTTTTGTAGAGAGCGGGTTTTGTCATGTTGCCCAGGTTGGTCTTGAACTCCTGGAGTCAAGTGATCCACCTGCCTTGGTCTCCCAAAGTGCTAGAATTGCAGGCATGAGCCACCATGCCCGACTGATTCCTGTTTTCAATTTTAGGTAGTCATCTGATTATTGGGTTGTAGAAATCTTACTTTTGGATTAATATCTTAAAAACTATCACCAGTTACCTATGTGTTAACTGCTTAGTTTTTCAGCCAAACTTTAATCATCAGCCAACCCTCACTTTCAGCCCAGATGGATGAGCTCATGCTTGGTGATCAGTTAGCTCCTTGTTTTTTAGCTAATGCGTCAAGTAGCAATTACCATCTTTGTCTTCAGCTAAACATCATACTTCTCAATGCTTTGGTTATCAGCTAATGTCTTCTTTTTCAGCTAACACTTTAGTGGACATTAATATCCTTGTTAACGTATGTTACCTCAACCAGATAAGACCCGGCTGCATTGGGGAAGGGAAGTGGGGGCTTGACAAGGAACGTGAAGACATTAAAGGCAAAACTTCTGAGTTAATGAGGGGAGTCCTCCAAGAGAGTTCTTTCCTTCAGGAGCTGGAGTCTGGCTCTCCATGAAAGCTTTCTGAATGAATGAATGGATGGATGAATGAGTGCGTGAGTGGGTAGTGAGTGCAGGACCACACTCCTTCTCCTGGGGATGGCATTGCTTGCTCAGCCCCAGAGCCAGTGGCTTTCACTCTCACATCTTGCTGACACATGATGTTACCGAGAAACGCTTGGAATGCCGTCGTTTCACTGGGGCCTGGAGACCATACTTTGGACCTTGGTATCCTCTGGCCCGTGGACACCAGAGCAACAGCATCCTCTGCTGCACCCAGGCTGCCGAGCCGTTTATTCTTGAGTTGACCATGTGACCCCCAGTGGGGCATGTGACCTCTCTAGACCCACATCTGTGTGACCTGGCCCATGTGGGGCTCCCTGATCCCATCTCCTGCCTTTGCCCCATCAGCCTAGGGCACTCTCAGTTGGCTCCCACCTCAGGGCCTTTGCACCGGCTCTTCCCTCTGCCTGAACACTCTTCTCCCAGACCTTGGCTCCTTCCCTTCTTGGGGTCTCAGCCCAGAGGTCATCTCCTCAGGGATGCCTTTCCTGACTGCCTGCAGAGGCATGGGGTCAGCCTAGCTGGCTGTACCTTCATTCCCTGGGTGGTCTCAGTGCCTGAGGGGGCACCTGCTCACTGTCAGGCCCAGAGTCTCTGTCCTGAGTGTGTAGGGGGAGCACAGGAGACTGAGCTGCAGTGTTCAGGACCCTCCACCTGCTGGTTAAACCTGGTAATAAAACCATCTGCCATTGGCAGATGCCCTTAGAAGGATGGTATCTAAGCCAGATTTCACAGCTGGGGAAAAGGGCTCAGAGAGGGGAGTGGTTTCTCTGCGGCCACACAGCAGCTAGGGGTGGAGGTTGCACATCCACGCTCTGCTGGAACCCCCAGCTGCCTCTTCTGGCTCAGTCCCTGTCTCTCTGGCTTCCCTAAGATTGGCCCCTTTCTCTATAAAACTGGCCCCAGACTCCACAAAGTAAGGCAGCCCATGGGTGACAGAGGAGAGAGCCTGTGCCTAGGAGGGAGGCAGTGTGACCAGGGACCAAGGAGCTGGGACCAAGTGCCACTCAGAGTGGCTGGACCCTGGATTTCTATCACCTCTGTGTCTGAGTCCCATCTGCCTGTGAGTGCATGGGGGCCTCCGTGTGGACTGGGGAGAGTGAAGTCGGGTGACCGACTCGCCCCATTCATCTGGGACGTTCTCATTCTGTGTACTGACAGCCCTGCCTCCTGGGAAACGTCTCAGGACTGGGCAAATTGGGGCTGCTGGTTGCACTTGAGGGAAGGGAGGGCCTCGGGGGAGGCCCAGCCCCTGCAAAGGCTGGGATATGGGAATGGAACTGTGTGAGCTGCAGATATGGCCGCCCTGGCTTGGGGAACCCCTGCTGGGATGGGGAGCAGGAATGAGAGAGAGGAGGAGCATGATGCCAGAGCCCCAAATGCCAAGCACAAGATTTGGGCATAAGGAACCCATGTGACCCCTTGCTAGCTGCTGCTGGAGAAAGGAGCTGTTGGGAGAAGAAAACTAAGCCCCTGGAACTGGCCGCGGGCCCCTCTGCCCTCTGTAACCCGCCCTGGAGACAGGAGATGGGGGCTGATCCTCTTGCCCCACCAGCCCCCCGGGCGTTCTGACACACTGGGCTCTTTCTTAGAGAAGAATTCAGTAACAAAACACTGAACAACATCCCGTGACTCAGTCCCTGCTTGAGGGGCTTTGCAAGGGGTGGACAGAGAGAGAAGCTAACCCCAGACAGCCGCTGCTCTGTCTGGGTTCTGTAATTGGAAATGTCCTCCTGCCTGTCCCAAAGCCAGTGGCCGTGGGATCCTGGAGTCCAGACTGACCTTGGTCTGCTCCTCCCCAAAAGGGCCGCACATGCCTGTGGTTTAGGGGTATTGGAGGCTGAATACAGCCAGGTTCTTGTCTTGGAGACAGCTCAGCTCCCTAAAGGGCGTCAGGAGAAGTCCCAACAACAGAAACGCTGACTGCATTCCCAGCCTGCTTTACAAACCAGCTCACAGAGGTTGAGACAGGGCACACAGTCCACCAGGTCTCAATCCCATGGATACCCCAGCGTCCAACCCACAGCCAGCTGAGTCTGAGTTCCTGGAATGGAGGAGACCAGAGGCAGTGTGTCAGCATCTTGGCGGTGCCTTCAGTGCGCTCTGCTGCACCCACTGCTCTTTCAGAGCTCCTCAGAGGGTTTCCTGAAGACAGTCCTGCTGCGAGTCTCTTGGTTCTCCCTGCATGCTCCCCGGAGCAGCAGCAGCCTCCCCTGGAACCTGGCCCCTCCTCAGACCAGATGCTCTGGTGGGCGTGTGTGCTCCTATTCTGTGTGAATACTCAGCCCTACCCTGGGATTCTGAGATTCACTCAAGGCTGAAAAGTCCTGCCCTCGTCCAATGCAAAGGAGGAAACTGAGGCCCAGGGAGGTCTCCCTTGCTCATGGCAGAGCCCAGAACCCAAATCGGTTGTCTTCTAGCTGCACCTTCCCCTTCCTCTGGGCTCCCCACCAAAAACAGGTGCTTTTCTTGGAAGAGGATAACTTCTTTTGCCTTGAAAGTAACTTACTGACGTTTCTCCCCGACAAGATGGGGAAGTCCTCAAGAGCAGAAGGGACATCTGCTTCATCCCTGTCTTCTAAGGCCCTATCAGCATGCCTGGCATGTGCTCATTAAATTAACGCCTTTTAAGAGCTCTCTTTTGTACACTTGACTTACTGGCTACCTTGCTCTTCCGCTCCCCTACCTCCACTCCTTGGCAACACAACCCACTCCATTCCTCTTGGGCACAGCCTGGACAGAGAGGGCAGCGCAAGCAGCTGTGCTCCACGGTTGACCAGGATAGCCCAGCACGAGGCCCCCAGCTCAGCCCAGTGCCTCCCCCTTTCTCAGGGTCTCTTCCCAATCCGGTGAGTTGCTTCCAGCTGAGTCAGGTTGGCTAAACTCAGCAGGACACTATCCCCTGCAGTCCTCAGCTGCCGTCCCCACACTCCCATGTCCCCTCCTCCCTTTCAGCAGTGTCTCTGCTTTTCTAGGATATCTCAGCCCTTCCAACCACTGCGCCTCTGGCTCTCAGATGCTCATGTCCTTGCTTGGTGTCGGCCCATCTCTGCACTCTTCCTTTCCAAATTACCGGCACACTCTCCAGTGTTCTCACGGCCCCTCTCGTTCTAGGAGGGGGCTTTCCAACTCAGGACTCATCTGGATCAGGTGAGAAAAACTCCACGGCAACAACGGGATTCAGAGGTGGGCTAGCTGGGTCCCCCCCTCCTCAGGACCCAAGAAGTACCGCAGTGCATAATAATCCCACTGGACAACGCTCAGCACCACGTGAGGTTTAAACGCCTCATTCTAACCTGTGCCAGAAAAAGGAATTAGGCTGCAAGTGACCCCGCGCCCAGGGCAGCCGCTAAACCATTCAGCTCTCCTCCTTCTTCCCCCACTGCCTCTGGCCTGGATACTGGTACCAGCCTCCCCCTGGGCTCCTGGGCTCTGGTCTCATCCCTCTCCAGTCTGTCTTTGGCACAGCTGTGACCATATCTCACCATTTGTAACAACCCCTTTATGGAGCCAGTCTGAGTCCTCATCCTGGCATTCAAGGCCCTTGACGGTCTGACCCCAACTAGACATCCCAGCTTCATCTCCCACCAGCACCACCCATGCGCCCTCCGACCCAGACACACCTATCTCCAAACACACCCGGCCTTTCACACTTTGGGCCTCTGCGCTGCTGTTTCATCCCCTCCCCTGGGCCATTCATCCCATTAATGACTCATTCCACACTGACTACTAACCCACTGTGAGGGGCCCTGGATACTCTGAGATGGAAGAACACAGATCTGTTCGCTGCTCTAATGACCCCTCCAGTCTGGGCTGGGGGATAGAAGTGACTCACAGGAGCACACACACAAATGCACACGCTGGGACGGGGCTTCAGACATGAGGGACATGACACTGGAGGGGTGACACGGGCTGGAAGATCCTGGTGGGCTCCCCAGGGGCAGTGTCTGAGTGGGGGTGAATCAGGAAGGAGGGCAGGAACAGTGTTCCAAGCAGAGTGAACGGCATGGCAAGGGCCCCAAGGCGGGTAGGAGCAAGGTGAGGCTGGCCGCACGCCTGGGCCAGGCTGGGCACTCAGAGCCTGCCCTTGGTGTTTAATACTCCTGGTTGCCGGCTTTAAATTTGTAATAACTTTATCTTTGAATCTGTGGTGTTT